AAAAAAAAAAAAAAAAAAAAAAAAAAAAAAAAAAACAGAAGGAAACAAAATACACGGACAAAGTTTTTCGACCGATGGAGACGAATTATGTTTAACGATAGAATATAAAGGCATACGCGTGGAAACACATTACAGATAATGAAAATGAATAATGTTCATCCATAAATCATAACGCGGACGTATTGCTTTATCACTCAGTAAACAAATTATTCCGAATATTCAATAAATATGCGCGCGCTGGAAAATAAATTTCCAATTATTTTCTTTGTCGATTCTGTCAACGTGAAGAGCTTGATAAATGTTAATTCACCGCTGGTCATTCGGTCGATAAATAAAAATAAAAAAGCGGCAAAAGAAATATGCATCGCGTTAATATTATGCATAACGCTTGGAAAAGTTTCCTAGGAATAGGGGGTACATTATTTCTGGAATTAAAATGTATTAATTCCATTTTTTCGCCCCCCTGACGGGACAAATCGTAATTTCGTAGCTCTCCAGATGGAATAAAATTATCCTGATAACGCGAACTTCGATAACCGTAGTTTTGCTGAAATTGATTTAATCTTTTTTTTTTTTTCGAATTGGTACTAACATTCTTTTTAATTCAACACCGATCGATCGATAATATATAATTTCCGTTTTTCAGTGAATGTCGTCGTTGTTATCAAAGAATTAGAAACTAAAAAGATTATAAGTTAAATATACAAGTTGTCAGAAAGCAAAACTTATATCTTCGTTGTTCTTTCGCTAGAATTAAGATTAAACGTATCGTTATAGCCGGTCAATAAAATTGCCTTAGACAGCTGAAGAAGATTAACGACGAATTTTTCTATGATATTATAAGTTTGTGTATATATCTTCTTGATCAATGGTCCGTTCGAGTTTGATCCTTTGTAAGTCCCGAGAAATTTCAGAAAAGATAATGAATTACAAGGGCAAAGTAACAACCGATAATTATCGTGAGATTCTTTGGCGATAATTAATCTTGAACGCTTTGTCGTATACAACCCGCTACGTCGCCATTAATTGACCCTTTTCTGGAGTTAAATGATTTATCGTTTCGCGTGAATCAACTCCGTGCGCCATGTCATTCTAATATTGAAAAATTAAGACGTCGACCGTCGATGGCCATCGGCTCGACGAAATTTTAAAAATGGTTCTTCGTTTCCCTCTTTGTTCTAGGAGAGATACTTTTCCACTTGATTACGCGCATTCTTATTCATTGAGGTTTTGCACTATTTCCTGCGACCTTGCTGCTCCGAACGAGAACAATTTTCTACAATTCAGCAACGTCTCTCGTTGAAAACTCGGACAATCGTTCGAGTCGTGCCACGATTCTCGTAACTCGATATCTCGTCTTGCTTCGATTGCAAATTACGTCAATATGGATCGATGAAGCGTCGGTTTCGTCGGTGCGCTACGTGAAAACGCGGCGTCCATTTGCGAACACCTGCTCGACTCATGCGCAATTGTAAATTTGAAATTCTGGTCAACCAAAACGAACGAATTGAATAACTAATTCGATCTACGTCCGCAAGTGCAATTTAAAAACAAGTATTACGAGAGTTGCGATTGTGGGCGATCGGAGAGAGAGAGAGAGAAAAAAAAAGAAAAACAGCCGAGCGATTTAATCGAATTTTGTCGTCAATAGAAATTTACTTGGAACTACCTTGGAACCACGTGTTTCTTATCTGAGCGGCAAAAACACACACAAAATTATCCATTCTCGAGCAACGATAAGCTAATGGTACGCGATAATAAAGCCATTTTTTTTCCTTCGCCTTTGTTTAATTCGACAGGCTTATCTGATAATCTCTTATCGCTCGTCGTATTCGACATTCCTCCAATTGTCTGTCCTTTTCTGCCAACAGCGTTTGCGTTCAGTGGTAGTTCTCGTCGCGCATGAAGTATTTCGAATCGAAAATATGTCGCCGGAGTTCAAGAAACTCGTGTTTCTGGCTGCGATTCGCAAAGTATTTTACGACGCGAAAGCTGTCAACGGTGTTTGGCAGCGTATATCGCACGTACAGAAACGTGTCAATGACTTTTGTATTCGGCGGCCTCGTTTCTCCGGGTTTCAGCGAGCGACGAGCGCCGAATCGATTTCGATTTCACGGCCAGTTTCACGGAAATTATATCGTGTCACAGACCCGACAAAAGTGGCGGACGTGCTCATTGCAAATTTTTATCAATCAGATCGATTTAGTCTTTCGATAAAAAGAGAAAGAAAGAAAAAATAGAGAGAAAATGCAATCGGTTTATTTCTCGTCGAGCCAATGCGCTTTTAAGATGTTCCTTTCGAACGTCTTAAATTCGCAACTTAAAAAGTTGAACACTGAAATGAAAGGAAGGAAAGAAAATAAGAAGAGCATGTGTAATAATCAAGTTCACGAGTCTTATTTGTAACTGTTGAAACTTCTTGCGACTCGGCCATTCTCTTTCTCTATTTTTCTTTGCTTAACTGTATTAAAAGTCTTTCCATGTTCATCGCTTTAATAATTGAAGAGTAAAACTTGAGAAGTGTTTTAGCATAATTCGAGCTTCAACGAGTAGAAGCGGTCTAACGAGATGAAGATGGAGTGGCGCATACTTACTGTAGCAAGTGTTCGGTTCTCGAAATTATAATATAGAAATTGTAACGTGAAATGAAAATCGGGATTTTCAAAGTAACGCGTGAATATCACATCCCGTGTTTAATTTTAATCCACAGTACTATGCAAGATTCGTCGTTAGAACGTTTGAACGATCGATGTCCGATGTTTGTCGATAATTCGCGGCTGACTTATTCACCGAACGGCCATTCCAATTCCGTTATCCTTTGATCGTTTATCTCTCAAGTGTTTTGTCTACGGTTTTATTAGATCACGATTTACGGATAAATTGTCCCGCGACTTCCGTTCACTCACCTGTCGAATTTTCGTTCGGCCGCGATAGATCAGGTGACAGTTAAAGCCTGGAGTAAGCGAATCCGATACAGAGACGTCCAATCTCTCTGCGCTTTGAAAACCTCTTTTCCTCTCTTTCGAGCTACCTGCAAGAACGAGCTTTCCATTAAAACTCACAGAGACCGAGGCGTCTCTTCCGACGACGAACAGGAACGATTTAATTTGTCTCCGATACTTTTTACCGCGGCTTTGTTAACTTTCATGCAATTTAATCGATCAGTCTCCGACCGTTAGTTCGTCGAGTCTTTTTCCACTTCCGTCCCCCGAGACGACTAATTTCCCCGCTATTCACCTCGATATTAATTCACCGTAGAATTTTCATTCGTGTTGGGAAATTTTCTAAAAATGCAACGATCGTGTCAAGTACCTATCTATCTATCGTGACGCTCGCTCGTCCACGTTTCTTCTAATCATCCAGTCATCTGGCGCAACTTCATCCAGGCGAGTACGCGCTCCCGACATCCAGCTTGTCCACGTTCAGTGACTCCAGCTTGCCGACTGCAAACCCTTTAGCCTTGAACCCGCTGCGAAACTGTCTCTCGTTCGCACCCGGTATTTTTTCCAACTTGGGTCGAACATCTAGCGTCGTCGAATCGTCGATCGTCCTCTCCTATCCGCCTTCTCTTATCGCTTTATCGGTACGAAATCAACTCGGATTACGACGTCTTGTATTCACGATCGCGACGATACGTCGGCCGGCGCGATGATAAAAGAGCAACGCAGCGCAGAGAAGTAAACTTTGACGAGGCAACCCGGCTTCGTTCAAGATTTCGGACAATTTCTATCGAATGTAAAAATAGAATTTTCGCCCGGTTCTCTTTCCTTCCCCTCGACCAACCGAGATATATACCGGTATCGAACGATATCGACGGGAACACTGTCGCATTGGCGAACACAGTTCGCAATGGCCAGTGCGAGCTTGTCGAACGTACATATAAATCTGTTGTAAGAGCCTCTCCCCTCTCTGCAAAAACCTCCTTCCCCCGACCACGTCCCTTTCCCGTGTGACACTCAATTTCACGATCGTCTCGGCTGTCTCGCTTTTCCCCGCGTGCTTCTGCCGCCTTTTCTTTTTCACGCTAGATCTGACGGATTATCCGATCATAACGTGGATTACGGATTTACGTTTCTAACGTTTCAGTAAATCAATCGAGCTGATATCGTTTAAACAGAAATGAGTCTCCAAGGACTTGAAGAACTCGATAAAAAGATTCATGGCAAATTGAAATCAGCAGACGAATCAACTTGCCTTTAATCCTTGGTTAAAGTTTCTCGACCGATGTTCTACTTGCAATGACTAAATATATCAAAGTCAGCGAAATGAAAAAAAGACTAAAGCGAAAGAGACAGCATAAATGTTTGTTTTATAAAATTCCACAACAACAATCGATATCCCCGCGAAGGTTTTATATTGTGAAAAAATTTATTGTACAGTTTGATATTGGCAATTATATAAATAAAATAACGTAATATTAAAGCTGATGGAAGAACAGCGTTTTTAGCGTGTGTTTCTCTCTCTTTCTCTCTTGTTCTCCCTATATATATATGTATATTGAACTATTACCAAATTATATTAGGCTATTTCGCCGGAGGTTATTGACTCGTATCGGGTATCTATTTTCATCTATACGTATATAATACATATAGATACAGATGTATACATATATGTATCATATATATGTATATAATATATATATATATATATATATAACGCATATAATTTGCGGCTAGTTCAGCGAGAATCGAGAACAATGGCTCCTAATTGACTGTAAATTACAATAGTCTATATTTAGACTCATGGTTTCGAAAAAACCATGATTAATTGATTCGATCACGGCCTTTCAGATCTTGATTTCTCCGCTTGGAATATTTGAAATTGCTAAAACTATATTTGTCGAAACTTTTAGTAGATTCGGTACGTGAGAAATATTTTCGTTTTTGTAGCTATTAACACGTCTATCACTACGGCGGTTACTGACGATTGATGTTTTCGTTCCTATAAATATTTTAAAGCGACTGAAACAAGATGAATATGGATAGACAACAAAATTTTAATCATTAATCGGCATCACATACTACGTTTTAAAAATTGTGTAATTTTGGAACTTTTCGTTTAATTAAATTTCATTACTAATCTCTAGTACGGAGAATGAAATAAATTGTAATTCTGTAAATAAATAGGTAGTCAGATGATATTGTAAAATGAAAAATGCGTTTTCGTTGTATCTTAAGAATTAGACATTTCGTTCTGTAACCGGAACGTGTAAATTTCGCATGGCAATTGAGATGTTAACGACCTAAATAGCAACAAGCGAGGCAATAAAATCATTCGTTATGACATGCAAGATTTCGAGAGAGATGATCTCTTTATCTGGAGGCAGGCGATCTTCTTTCGCAACGTCTGGAAACACAATGACAGCATAAAAACTGTGCCAGTGAATTTCATAATTGAACGTTTGAAATCATTTCTCGCGTTAATTGCACACACTGAACGGGGATACTTGTTTCTTAGTAATCGGAGAGCTATTCGTTTGCCGATCGAGAGTACGCGGAATTACGATGTACCTACATTGACACGCCGGCGGATCAGTCGGTTTCGATTGAATTTAATTGGCCAGGTCGCATGTTCGTTACGTCTACTAGGCTAACAGAGAATCGTCGAAACTGGTTTCGTGTACAGCTTCGATACTGCGATCTCTGCGTTATTCTCGGTATCCGAAAATTTCGATGGCAATCGCAAATGCATCGCGACAAAATTAAGGGAAATTCTCGGCCCGCGGACTCGATAGGACGCGATTGAAACGTCGATTTAATTGAAAATATATTACTAGCGTGCGCGATATCGAATACGTTAGAGCGATGATAATTAAATATTCCGAATCGGCAGGCGCCGATACAGCAGGAAATACGAATCCGTAAAAGAAGCTTATAATGTATAATATTCCAATTAATATAAGATAAGTCCGAAAGAGATGGACCGCGTTTTGAAAAATCGAATGCTTCGTGTGCTTTTATTGTGAATCCTCTTTGAAGTGTGTAAAGATTATAACACAATATTTTTATAAATGCAGCTGCAAAAAAAAAAAAAAAAAGAAGAGAAAGACACAAGTACATCTTCAAATGCATTTTCACGTAAATGCATTTCGGTTGTAATCATTTATTGAAATTGATCTGCAGCTATCTATTTTGTTGGAAAAGTTGTTTCATTAATGAAGAAAAGAAAACTATCACTTATTGCTATTATAATATTGCAAAATTGTAGCTATTTAATTCTACTTAAGATTTACGAATTAATAATTAAGTACAAATCATTTGACATCTACAGCAAGAAGTAAAATTTGTGAAATGGATACATGGGTATGTTACTCCCAAGTTAAATTTGGTAATTAATTTCTCTCTGTTATCCATCGAGTGTTACAAAATTGTAACGACAGCCAATTACATTATTTATGTTGTTTGACATTGTTACATGTTTATATCGATTCGATAAAAATGAGTTATCTGGAGAGAATGACTTGTAAGCGATAAGTATGTAAGTAGAAGAGTGACGGTATAGATTCTGTGAACAAGTCACCTCGTGATGCCATCGAATGACGAAGCAGATTTTTTTCGACCTACGTTGCTTATGGAACGCTGCTCTCGATCGCTCAGATTGCACGGTTTTGGCACGAATTCCAGTTTGCTGTCCCTCTGGCTTGCCAGCGAAAAAACATAAATTGTCGGTCCGTTGAAAGAGAAAAACCAAAAAGAAAAAAAAAAAGAAAAAAAGAAAAAAGAAAAAAAGAAGAGGTAGAAAAATAGAGGGTGGAGCACGGAAGAAGGAAAGCGGGCGGAAATTCAGAGGACAGCTGGAGCAACTGTGACCTCGATGTGATATAAAATTCGCGAAATTAAATTAAGTCGGACGCAGAGTTTTCGGGAACAAATGCCCGCTTGGTTCCTCACTGATCTCGTTTCGTTTCGTTTCTGAATTATCGATACGGATCGTATGCTTGGCTTCTCCTAAATTCGTGCGCGCGCGTCTGAATTGTTTGTTGGTTAAATTATTATCATTGATAACACCGTTGTGTACCTGTTGAACGTTATCGTATACGTAACGTTCTAATGCATTTGAGTAGTGATTAGAACATTTCTGGAAAATAAGGTGAACGAACGTGTTAACATTTCACGCAAATTGGATATAAATATAAAAATTAAAAATCAGATTATGAATTATGAATCTGTGATTAACCATAAATTAGACAGCGAGTATATGTGCAGTGTCTTTTCGTTTGTTCTTGCGAAAGGATTTGAAAACGCTGAAAACGATGACCAAAACAGAAGCGACGAAGGAAGCTCTGTTTTTAAACTCTACAAAGTGAAATTGTTGGTGCAACTGTCGTAGCTGCTGCTAGCAACTTGCTAGTCATTTTATTAAAATTAAATAGCGCGCGTCCGGGGACGCGATGTAACTTTTCATCAGTTGCAAGATGAGAGTGGACGGGCTGCGCGTTTTTGGCATCAGTTTTGCAACCAACGACGAACGTTCCTTTAAATCTCCGACTCGACGCGGCCGAAATAAAAGCTCTGCGAAGAGTAAACAAGAATCGAATGGAGAACGTGTGTAAATATTTCTGATCGTTCGCGAATCTGCTTTCAACGAGATTTCAATTCCAAGGAAAACGTAATTAATAAATTTAATTAAGACGTCATAATGAAAATGTAATTAATGGTGACAGAAATGTTGCTTGGATCACGATAATGTAATATGTATAATATAATGAATTTGTTCTCATTGGAGAAATGAGAGATATTCAGGAGAGTGAGGGAATGCTTGCAGTAATAAGCCAACTGTGCTTGCCTTGTTTATTAATCTTTAGAAATTCCAGGTTTGATTGAAAAAAACGAAGAAGGTTCCGGTTGTTCGATTTTTCTCCAAACACATTTCAATCGCGTATTTGACAGATTTTTCTTTCACGTGTCTGACAGGTTTCCCTTCGATAATATTTGCGAGGACATGCGAGGAACGTTTGTACATTTCATCAGCGAAATGTTTAGCAACCAGAGAATCTTCGAAGAAGGAACTGGAAGAATGAAATAAATAAACGGGAAAATAAACGAACGCTTGGAGCAACGCGTAGAACGGCGGAAAAATTCCCATTTCTATTTCATATAAAAATGATAAAATATGATAAACAGATTCTAAGAAATCCTCGAGGGAAAATGAACCTCAAATTCCCAGGATTCTAAGCAGATTTCACGTCAGAAATCTGAGTGTGGCGGCAGCTTTAAGCAAGGATGGAGTTGGATCAGAAAGTTGTTGATGCGCAAATTTGTGGCGCGTTATACGCGTACTGTAGTATATGTGTGTGCACAAATACTACCATCGTCCTAAATAAAAACTTTCGCTTATGTATCACACAAAAAAGTCATTCAAATTCCGTAAATACACAAAATTTTTATGAAAAATTATGATTTAGTGGCTGTAGATCTAATATACAATGTATTTTTTTGTTCCATTATTTCGGAGTTTTATGACTCCTTTTCTATTTTCTCGTGTTAGATTCCGTCATACCGATTTAGACAGGTTTTGCACTACTAATGAGAATTAATATCAAAATATATGGATAGTATAGTCACATCTGTTTCGAGAGATATTTATTGAATTGAATGTGGTGGTACTTCATCAATGAAAGACTATAACGACTTAAAACAGTGACCGATGGAAATTGGGATCAAAAATTTATTATATATTTCATTATTTACATTTATTTAAAAGTATTAGTAAAAATTGATAGAAATATAGTTTAACAACATTATTAGATATGATGTTTTTTACTTACTTTAGTGGGTAACTTCAGAGTCTGAAATAAAATAATAATAATTATAAAAACTTGGAAGTATCAAAGAAATGTTTCTACAAATATTGTTTGCTATAAAT